AAACTTTAATTCAAAACATCATATGTTTGTTAATTGCCTTGACAGTCAGTTTCTTTTATTTATAAATCTCTCTCATAATTCTGATTAATTAAACTTAATAATTTCTTTACATTTAAATAAAAAGAAAAATATTAAAAATTCTGAAGCAATTTTTATGTTAATTTGATAAATGCTAATTTTGACAAGACTATTTATGAAATAAAAATTAAAAAACATAACCAGAACATGAATTCACTGATGTAGAAATTTTTTTTTAATTTTTAAGTTATATATATATATATATAAATTCAATTAGAGATGATGAAATGATAATTAAAACGTTAAAAATTAAAAAAAGTAAATAAACAGAAAAGTTTGCATTGCTATACTAAACATTAAAGTAAAAATGACTTGTCTTTGACATTTTCCTAATGGAGTCTCGTCTCTGCTTTNTATATATATAAATTCAATGTATAATATAACTTAATATAACTTTATATGTGGTGATAATACCAAAATTCCATAATTTTTCTGAAAATCTATTATGTTTTTGAAAAGAATTTTAATTATAAAAATTCTTTTAAGTTTAAGTTTTGAAGAGGAAATGTTTAAGTATATGCTTTAAAAAAATTGACTGTTTTTCTCATAAAATTTACACACAGTCATGATCATGAAACTGAAAATTCATTCTGATAATTAGATGCATGTTAAATGGACAGTAAATTTCTATAGAAATCTGTTTAAAAATGGAAGATACATTTTTGTACTAATAATTTTGAATTAAAAACATTTTATTTTTCATTTATGTATTAAATACACTTTAATGAATTTAATTTATCAATATTTTATAAGTGCAGCACTAAATATTTTACTTGTATCTGAAATAATTTATATAACATAGAAAATATATATTAGTACATAATATTTTGTTGTTACATTTCAAATAAATATTCAACAAATATTTTGCCACAGAAATTTGTCAAATTACTAAATATATGAAATAATTTTAGATATCCAATTTTAAACTTATTATATTTTTATCTACTGATTACTATTCTCTCTACTGCTTGAATTAGATATTATTTTGCATTTTGTAAAGATAAGTTGATTTATTTTCTATCAGTTAATTTTCTGATAAAGACTTATTGAATAATGCTAATACAGTGGAACTGCAATTATCCAAGGCAAATATGTAAGTGAATATGCCACTTTCCAATGCTATAATTAATAGAAGAAACTTTAAAACAACAACACTTATAACAAAATGATTTGTTTCTGTTATGTTTTATCATTTAACTTTAATTGAAATGAACCATTCATATTAAACTGTAACTCTAACAATACACATGTTCATTCTCAAACTATTGTATGTTTATTAGCTGTGTAATGAATGATATATAATTCAACAACAACAATTTCTACACAATTTAATTCATTACATATAAAAACAGGCTTAAAAGGGATATACCATAGGCCTATAAATCTTTTATATTCATAATTTTCAATCCAAAATGACCATGGCCATCCATTTTTACCAGAATTTTCAGTTATTTGTGGTAGCATCAATCCACATTCTCAGATAACTGGAGTTCTACTGTATATGAAGTAAATCACATTTACTTTGTATGTTTACAAACATAATAATTTTTTAACATAGCTATATTTTATTATGTATCAAATATTTAATAAAAATATTTTATGCTATAAGAATTGGATACAAAATTTACTTCCACTAATGTTAGAAAAAATTTGAAAAAAGTTTATAATTTTTTCAGAAAATTTTTTATAAATTAAATGAGTGGATTATATATAAATATATTAAGTTTTAGTAAACATCCCCCATACAAAAATAAAACTTTAACAAACCAAAAGTTATTTGGTTTCAGCAAAATATGTAGATTATATATGCTTTCTTTCCTTTAAAAAAATTATACATTGACAGATTTTATTATTTTAGCAAGCAGAAACAAAAGATCTAATAAAATAAAAAATAAAAATTCATTTTGTTAATTTTTTTGTTTCTGCTTTCTAAATATCAATAATAAACTTAATAATTACTGTAATTTTTCTCAGTACTTAGAGATAATCTTATAAATGAATATTTCAATCAAAAACATTTATTCTCTGGAAAAGCAAAGAAATAATATAAATATGGTTCCTATTATCATATTACAAATCTAAATATTGTAATATCAAAACTAAAAAGAAGTATTTAATTTTATATGTAAACTGTAGTAATATAAAAAATATATAGCTATCAATTTTTAAAACAATTAAGTACAAATTGAGTACGTTTCTTTGATCATTAAATTTATAAAAATTTTAAGTTTTAAACACTAAATTAGAGTATTATGTATATTATTATTTTTTATATATTTATTGATAAATATTGATTCTTTATCCATATATTTTATTAGTTTTATTTCAATTTGCAATTGTTCTAATATTATCATAACAAATCATACATCTATGTAGTATGTAATTTCAATTGTTAAGCAATGTATATTTAATAATGAGTAATGTAATGTATAACAAACTTTATAAAGAAAAAAAAATAAATTTGAAAATTTGTGTCATTTAAAATGATTGAATTCTTAAAGTATAAATTGAAGAATTCAATCACTGGTGTGAACAATAGAAAAGAAAACGAAAGCAAGAAATTTTTTCTTTGTATATTTGTGATATTGGTATTTTTATATTTTTTAAAATGATTGAATACTGTTCAAGCAGTTTCACTGTAATAATCTTTTATATATTAAAAATATAATATTTAATTGAATCCAATGCAACACTTTCTTTAAATCTTTAAATTACATTTTTATCAATAAAAACTAAAAACTATTTGTTGGCATCATTTAAAATAATACTGTCTTAAAGTAAATGTATAATTAAAAAGCAGAATAAATAAATTTCTTAAAAACAAATACCTTAACATTAACCACTTAATACACATTTTACATATTTTATTTTAAAAAATCAAAATTCAAAATTAAGATATATATCTTTTAAACATTATTTTATGTCTTAATATCAAAAAGCAATGAGGAAGTCACTGCAGATAATGTATTTTCAAAATCATTTTATATGGGATGAATTAATCATTCAATATCATTACACTTTATTTTTAAATTAAATATATTTAAGATTTTTTGAACTGTTATTCATTTCAGAAAATGCAAATTTTATAAACTTGCACTTCTTCTCCAATGTATATTGGAGAAAAAGTGCAAGTTTATAAAATTTGCACTTTTGTGACATTCCAATAAAATAATTGTTTAATTTTTCTTAATTTGTGAGCATTAAGAGATTCTTTTAACATACATATAACAGATTCAGTCTTCCTTATAATGAGATGGTTGGATGATGACAGAAGAATCAAGCATATTCAAACCTAACCATCCACAAAAGTTTCTGTGGATCCTACCTACCATGTCCCCCAGATCAGTAAAATTATGCATATCACCTCAGCTGTAGGGCCATAGGAACTTTTTTGCTATTTGTATTTTTATACAATTGTTAATTTAAATATAATTGTAATACATAATTTTCAATTAAATTCATAAAAAATTTTCAGTCAATATACAATGTAGGAGTTTTAGTTTTATCCATCTGTGGATAATGCTTGTGGGGATGATTCTGTAAATTTTGAAAAAATGCTGTTATTTCAAAGTTTTTGAAGTAATATTCTCTCAAGATTTTATTGTTTACAGTATGCTTACTCTAATACATCCAATTTAAAAGATTCTTAGTACATTTCATTATCAGAATTGTGATATCTTTAAATTTTAATTATCTGAACTGAAAGGGCATAGTTAAATAGCTGCTGTATATCAAATGAAGGCAATATCTTTTGGTAAGATTTATATTTTAACATGTAATGTTTTTAAGAACATTCAAGAATATTATATAATGATATTTTCCAATATAATAATAGAAATAATAACAAATAAAACTTAAATTTTTGTTATATATCTCACTAAATTTATAATGCTAATAATAAACCAATTAAACAGAATTATCTTAACTAAATAAAATTATATGCCAAAATTTTATCTTATTGATAAGATTAATATCCAACTTCTTTGAATACAGTTAAAGTATAATTCTAATTACAGACTTTAAAGCTAATGAAAAGCCTTTTAGAATTAAAATAAGACTTAGAAATATTATTTTCTGCACTTTAAGGCTGAAGATCTTCTATAATTAGAATTTTTCTTTTAAATTATTCTTATTTACTAATGAAAATAATATTATTCAAATTACTTAAATATTTTAATAAATTATAAAAATTGCTTCAGAATTAAAGATAAATCATTTACTAGACTATAAACATGTATTCAATCTTCATATAAACTGGATCCTGAAATTGTGAAATTTCATAGTTATTTTTTTTAATAAAATTTATCCTAAATAATTAGACAAAATATTCTTAAAAATTAAAACTATAAGACTAAAAAAATGACAATGAATTCAATAAATAGAATGCAGTAGAAAAACTTATTTCATATACATGTGTCAGCTATATCTATTTTTATATTTGTGACAATATGCGCAATTTTTTGTTTCTAAGCTAACACGATGTCAATACACATACTACACATATTCTTGTCTATTAACATAGACAATTTTTGATGAGACTAAACAATACACATTGATCTAAGCTTACAAATATGGATATTATGTTATAGAAAGTTATATATACATGTAATTTTTTTCTAATACCCAAGCAAAATTGCTATTTTCTTATACTTTTAATTCATATGATAACTAGTAAACAAATTTTTGGAAATATACTTCTTTGTCATATTCAACATTAACAAGTTCTAATTGTGTTACTGAACAGGAGAAGAATTCAAGAGAATATAAAAAATAAAGTAGAAAATTGTAAGTTATTTTATAGACACAATTACNTGACAATGAATTATTTATTTTGAAATGTCTAAAGTTTTACCAAAAAGCAATGAGTGAAGAGTTTAAAAGATTTCCAATTGCAAACCATTTTTTTTAATAAAATTTATCCTAAATAATTAGACAAAATATTCTTAAAAATTAAAACTATAAGACTAAAAAAATGACAATGAATTCAATAAATAGAATGCAGTAGAAAAACTTATTTCATATACATGTGTCAGCTATATCTATTTTTATATTTGTGACAATATGCGCAATTTTTTGTTTCTAAGCTAACACGATGTCAATACACATACTACACATATTCTTGTCTATTAACATAGACAATTTTTGATGAGACTAAACAATACACATTGATCTAAGCTTACAAATATGGATATTATGTTATAGAAAGTTATATATACATGTAATTTTTTTCTAATACCCAAGCAAAATTGCTATTTTCTTATACTTTTAATTCATATGATAACTAGTAAACAAATTTTTGGAAATATACTTCTTTGTCATATTCAACATTAACAAGTTCTAATTGTGTTACTGAACAGGAGAAGAATTCAAGAGAATATAAAAAATAAAGTAGAAAATTGTAAGTTATTTTATAGACACAATTACAATACATAAATAGTATTCTAATTGAAAGGAATTTTAAATATTCCACTTCACTTTTCATCAATATTAACATTCGTTACAGTTGAAAAATTAAAATTTAGCTACAGAATTAATGACAAAATGTTTTCATTATAAGCTTTATGAAATTATAATTTGAATTTTATCAAATAACCACAAGAATATTTATGATAATAGGCAGACAGATTATACAGCAAAAAATTTTTTCAATGGGCTTTACTAATAATTACACAGATTCACATAGGAACTCTGAGTAATGTATCAATCCATAACAGATTAAACATTATCTGTTATAGAAATAACATATAACTGAGGAAGAGATATCATACTTCATATACATATAATTTACTCATGCTTTCTGCAAGGATGAAGCACTTGCTTAATGGTGATCATAATCTGATCATGTGCGACTAGTTGTGAAGGCAAGTCATTATAATGTTGAGTTACATTTGACAATATAAGTATTCATTTCTATTATGAAATTTTTCATTTTAGTTTATTTTATTTTATTTTTTAAATATACCATATGTAGGAATTGAGTATTGCACTGAAACTTTATCATAGAGGGGAGAAGGAATTGAGCACGTAATCATCACGCGTTCGATTCCTTTAGGTTATCAAAATATTCGATGAGTTGGTCGTAGTTCATGCCTTGGGCCACGGCTTCCCATCCCATATCGCTGCCTTGCTCCCCTGACCTAGTGCTATTTTCTCTGATACTCCCCTTCTGATCTACTGGTACATTTCCATGAGGTCGTCCATGAGGTGGGACGGGAGGAAGGATATTACGGTGGGGTGGAATGGGTGGTGGAGAATTAACACGATTATGCGTATGTTTTGTATAGGTTTCAGGTGCTACTGGTGGGGGCACTGGATTAGTTTGTATGCGTACTTTTTTTTCACAGGCCAAATTAGCATTTGCATTAACATCCACAATAGAAGGCAAATGTAAAGCATTATGATTAGTAAGAGTTGTGACTGCACCTTTCTCTATCATTTCATTTTCCTTCTCTTCAGGAAGTTCTTGTGGATTTGTAGTTATTCGAATGCTTATTTCTGAACCTGGAAATGATATATTACTTGCGCGACATCCACTACCTCTAGATCTTCCTGTTGTATTTTTCTTATCTCTTCTTTGGACTTTTGAGCTTGTACCATCTCCAGGATGATTACCATTAAAATCAGCCATAGGCATTAATGTCTGAGAACACTTAGTATTAATGGAATTTCTTTCCAATGTTGCACGTCCAAGCCAAACCCAATCATGAGCATGAGCTACAGATTCTCCACTATCAGCAGCTGGAACTTGTTTTCTTTTATATCGGACAGCAAATACAGAACAACTTACCAGAAAAACAAGTATAGCAAGGCAAAAGACACCTAGAAGTGCATACATTCCTATTTCTAATGGAGTTAATGGCACTGGTTGTCCACGAACCAAATCCTGTCTTGCTTGTATTGTTGGTTCATATTTTCCATTAGGATTTATAGAATCCTTATAAAGAATTGAATCAACATCTTTCATGTTCCCAGATGGTAATCTATCACTCTTGTTTCCACCTTGCTTGTCAACCAAGCCTTTTGTAGTTTTAAAACGAGCATCATTTTGTACAGATGTAGTATGAGATGCAGAATTAAAATCTACTTCAATGAATACATATACCATTGCCAATGGCTGACTCCTACGTTTCTGACATCGTTCAGCAAGTTCTAAAGAAACATGCAATAAATCACCTTTTCCTTCACCAATAGCTATAACTCTAGGATGATGTAAACCAGCCATTGGAGCAAAGGCAACTACCCCACTATCAAAAGTATCTACAGAAAGATGATAATCTGTGTCTGTAATATCTGATAATGAAGTAAATGTTCCATCAGAATAATAGAGTTTTATATCCAATAATCCTTCCTGAAATTAAATATAATTATTATTTGATTAAATAATATTAAAGAAAGAAATAAAATCTGTAAATATAATATTAAAAAATCTTGCTATTTTTAAATACAGGAGTTTATAAAAGATTATTGGAAGTTTAATGCAGTTTATTTTCTCTTAGATATTGTCTAAATAACAAATCTTACATGAAATGAAAGCACAGCTCAACAAGTTTTTACCTTGTACTATACATTGAATTCTTGTAATATGGGCAACCTTCCTAACATGACACACATCCAGCTACAGCCAGATTCCTGCCACATTATGGTCAGCAAATCTGATGTGATGGATTCAACAACTGCAAGAATCCTATTTTTCAATTCAGGCTGGCTGGAAGTGGTTTGTGACATATATTTGATGTTTTACATATCCCCACAAAAAGAAATCATATTTAGTGATTCATATCTTGGGGCACCATAGAAAAACCTTATTCTGTTCTTGTTCCTGTCTTCACATCAGATATGCTGACCAGATTGTGGCAGGAATCTCGCTATAGGTTAGATATGTGTCATTTTATGAAGAGTGCTCACATTGAGCACTTGTATTACCTGAAGTAAAACTTCTTGAGTTGCTCTTTCATTTCATTTCATTTCAGGCTTGTTATTGTATTCTGTATCTAAGAGAAACAAAACATTAAAATCATAACAATCTTTTATAAACACTCTGAATACAAATCAAAAATTATTTCTATTAATAACTGAATTATTTAGAAAATGTTTTAAATTAACTCTGCCTGAACAAAGTTGATTTTATTTTTTAATTGAATTTGAATAATAATAAAAAAGTTTTATCAACTTGTTTGCCTTCTGACTAATAAAAGTTGATTCTTAAGGCTGACTGTAACTTCTGGTTATACATGCAATCTCCTGCAGATGGCATTAAATTTTTAATGCCTTTTCCATGGGAAAATCCTTTTCCAAAAATGGAAGTAGATAGAACCAGTTATTTTGCATTAGAATCTTATTAATTCTTCTATTAGCATATAGTTCAGAATTTTGAAAATTAAATTCATTAATTTTCTATGAATTTTTAACATTGTAGAAAATTTAAACAAATTAATGAATTTGATTTCCAAATTTAGTAACGTTGGAATGTTGCTAGCCAAAAAATAATGGAAATGAAAGAAAATCAAAACTTAAAAGTATCTGGAAATATTAATCACTTATATTTCTTTCTTGGTTTTCAATTTTTCATATAACTGCTTGTTGTTTGCATTTACACTTAATCTTCCTATCAAAAATTAGCATTATTCATTTAGTCATAATAAGTTTGTTTCATGTAATTCTTATTTTAGTTTACTTCCATTATCACTACTTTTTTGTTTCCTACATTTCACTTTATTTTTTATATTTTTTAAAAAATAAGTTATAACTACTTTATATTTTTTTTTATTCCTTACAACTGTCTTATCTTTATTTCAGTTTTCATTTTCTTTTATATAAACTCTTATTTTCTAATTTTATATTAATTAATTAATCTTACTTTATAATTTTTACCGGCTTATTCTTTAAATGATGATGGTAAACTCAGTGAAACAGATTATGTATGAAATATAACTGTTTGGTGTCTATGCTTATATTATTTATTGTATACAACTTCTGAAGTTTATAAATTTTAAACTTATAAACTTAATTCTAAGCATGATTTTAAATTTATCAATTCTACATTTACTTGTTTCAAGAAACAAGTAAATATCCTTTTAATACTAAATTTTAAGAGATTGCTGATGAATAAAAACAAAAGTTTGTCATTATCAGCTCTTTCCTTCATATACACATCCACAACAGACCGCAACCAATACATATAAAAAAATGTCACTTTAAATAATAAATTTTTCATTAAAAATTTCTGAATATAATACCTGATATTGTGATGTTAGTTTATTGTTAACGGAAGCAACAGCAGCAAAAACATTAGGTAAAGATTCATCATTTGTAACTGATAAATTTAAGCCTGTAACAACAGTTACTTGTAAATGGGTGATGCTTTCTTTATCACTTCCAACTCTAACCTCTCTTGCACCAATAACACGACCAGTAATAGGCGAAAGGACCTAAAATATATATAACAAGATTTATTTTATTTCCTTACTTATGTAAAATCTATCAATATTAAACAACTGGTTATTTCAAACATATCATTTACTATTTTTAATGAAAAACAAGACAATATTTTAATATATAAATAACTGATTCATCTTCTTGAAACAAATTCAACGTATCTTGTGACAAATTGCAATTTTTGTTATAATTGCATTTTATTGCAAACACATTTTCTGAAAAAAAATGAACACTTTATATATAAAAATAGATGTAATAGTAATTTTCAATGTTAACTGTCACACCAGAAACAAATCATTAATCAAGGAGCCAACTTTTATCTTGTTGACATTTCTTAAACATTGTCTCTTTTCTCATCTCTAATAACTTATATATTCACACAATATAAATTAAACAGGTCTTTTTAGGTTACTGAAGATGAGAAGCCAATGCTTCTCAAAAAAATTTTTTGACAAAATAAAAGTTGGCTCCTTGATTCAATTTGAAGTGAAAATTAATGCATGACAAATATACTCTACATGAAAATAATGACTTTAATTTTTTGATAAATTTTATATAAAATTTTATTTAAAATATATAAAATATTTCTAATAAAGTTAATTATTATTTTTAATATACAAGGGCATTCAAAAAGTTCCTTGAAAATATAAATGAAAAGACATATAGTGCTTTATTAAATTAAATAAAATATCTACTAATGAAAAGACTAATGTGAGGTGGATAATAATAACAGCTAATCACATTAGTAATAATAAACACAAACACTCAGGAATCAATGCAGATCCTTTAATTAAACAAAAAACAATTGTACAGTACAGTAAAAAACGACTACATGAGTATGAGTAAATAAATAACCAAAATGCATTTTGGAAATAGTTCCTCTTCACTTGGTATTAATATAAAAAGGTTATTATACATAAAACTACACAAAACAAACAAACTGCTATAGCAGTATGAGCAGTAAACATTAAATGGGTGCAAGGGAGACAGGTATAAAACAACTTCATAATATTAGAAGGCAGCTTGATGTAAAGAGTACTAATACAAACAGTTAAAAACTAATGGATTAAAAAATTAACAGATGGAAAACTAATGGAATAATGTTATACAGACAAATTATATATACATACCACAACAGTAAAACAATAGAGTTGAGGGTGGCATTACTACAGGGTGCAGAGCAGTCACAAAAAACATATGGTACAGGCATCATCTGGTGAACAAGTGGTGACTAACATACAATACAATTACAACAGTTACAACAATTACAAATTTTACAATAGTTTTGAGACAATAGTGTGATAACATAACAAAAATACTTTGTTTTTATAGATATATTGGGTTGTTCAGATAGTAATTTTGTTTTTTTTTTCCATGGAAAAAAAAACAATGTTTTTATAATAAATAAATATTTCATTGAATTATATATAGACCATTTTGGCCAAATACCTGTTGTCATCATTTCTGGTAGTAGCATGATTTCACATTCATAAAAGTTTTGATTGTTGCTTACAAAAAACTGATCCAAGTGATTTTTGACATTGTCATTTCAAGTAAATGGCTTATGGTTAAAAAAAATTTGTATAGACCGGAACAAGTAATAATCTGAGTGTGCTGGATCTGGCAAATACAGTTGTTGTGATAGCACCTCCCACCTAAGTTATAACAGTTTCTGACAAGTTACCAAACTTGTGTGAAATTTGACATTATCATGGTAAAACACTACACCTGTTTTGTTGATCAATTCTGGCCGCCTTTTCTGTTTGATGATATTACTCAATTTGTTTACTCAACGGCAGTACACTTTCGAATCAATTGTTAAATTGTCTGGTAAAAGCTCCAAAAAAATTTCCTTAAAATCCCACCAAAGAGAGCATCTCTCTTTAAGAACATGTGGAACCCATACATCAAGCTTTGAAACAAAACCAATTTGTTTCAAGTAATCATAAACAGTTCAATTTGAAAAATTTAATCTCTTAGTGATTTCACATGTTGTTATTCAGCAGTTTGCTTCAATCAGTACCTTTATTTTGTTTTCATTGGCTTCAACTGACCATCCAGAACGTGGTGCATCTTCAATATTGAAATTGCCAGAACAAAATTTTGTAAACCAGTTTTGGTACTGTCGTTCTGTCAATACATCTTCTCCATACATATCACATTTTTTTTTCTCACTTGAACAGCATTCTTACCTTTTTGGTAATAAAAGAGCAAAATATGCTGAAAATGCTGCTTTCGATCTTCCATATTTGATGGGACACAAAAAATAAACAATTGCATGAAATCAAACAAAAAATTTTTACAAATAAGCCTTAAAATGCTAGAATGTCAAAATATATAATGATAATACGGTTTAGAATGAAAATGGCAGGAAAAATATGACTAATCCGTCTAGTGGTAAAAAAACGAAATTACTTTCTGAACAACCCAATAATTGTACCATTCTTCATCAATTTTAACACCTGAATTATCATTAATTCTTTAATCTTTATTAATTTTTAAAATTTCTACATGTTCTTAATATTTCCATTTATAGGTGTTAGTTTCAAATTTTAGAGTTTTTATTGTGCTTTTATCAATTTCACAACCATATAGATTGCAGTGTTTGGCAACAGCTTAGTTCTCAGAATTATATTTGATGGCATTGATACGTTCATTTATACAAACATTAAGGCATCTTTTGGTTTCACCAACATAGGTTATAGAATTAGTAGAGTCACTATTAAACTTGTATATCACATTACTCTTTTAAAAACATTAACTACATTGCTTGGTAGTTAAGCTGTATGTGTTTGAGTTTTATTACAAAGATCAGGGACCAAATTGATGTTAGTTTTATTTAACAGAGTTTTAATTTTTTCAAATGTATTTTTGACATATGTAAGTTTAAAAAAACTTTTTAGTACAATTGTTGTTATTAGAGCTAATGTTATGGACATTGGTGATACTATTAAACTCAAATTGTTTTAGCCATTTGTCTAGAACTTTTGGGTAATTATTGATATTTAACAAGACCTTAACATCATCCTTGATCTCAATATTCTTTTTATAATCAGAGGTAGTTCTATTAAATTTTTTTGATGACAAAAATATTTCTTTTTATGAACAAGGGCATATGTAAGTGATAATCCATAACCTTATTAACATTACATAATTCCTTATAATTTTCTATTTCAAGAGTAACAAGAATGATAATTTATTGCAAAGTTCATTCTCAACTTTAAAATTTAATGTTATCATCAAAATTATTAACTATCATAACCAAATTATTAGGGTCTAGGACAAGAGGATCATAGTTTATAAAACAGTCATCAACATATCTGTTCAAAAATTTGATACCATGGATATTAGTGAAAGTATCAATATCAATAACACTTAATTCAGCTAAAATAGGGTCAATAATGGACTCCATGAGTATTCCAAATTTTTGTGTATAGTATTTTTCATTAAATTGGAAATGGTTGTTATTTTATTTTATTTTATTATACCAAAAACTAAAAGCAATCTTTGTAATAATTTCATAGTGCTTCATTTTTCAACATATGTTCATAAGTAAATCAAACAAAAAAATTTCTCTCTTTTTTTTTTTTGTTTGCTTGATTTACTTATGGCGATGTCGGCCAAGTGCTACAGAAAAGCCGTTCTATCCCTAACCAGGGTAAGAGAGAAGCTGATTAACTGCCACAACAATGGAGCCTTCCTTATGTCCATCTTTCGAATAAAGCTACCATACGGCTGTGAAGCTCTTCTGCCTAAAGTACAATTTTTATGTCTTAGAAAGGCCATTTGATGTACCAGATGCCTTATGTACCACAAACTGAACCACCTCCTCGGTCTTGAGGATGACTTATATAGACAGGATTTTACCATCCTGAAACATATGAACTCCAAAGTCATAAAACTAGAAGCAAGTGTCAGATGTAATTTGCAACGTAAATATGAAAAAAAACTCAGTTGGATATTCAAAATACAAAACCAATGTCTCAAACCTAAATTCAACAATGTTATAACATGTTGGGACAACATCTCTCCTCCAGAATACTTTTGCAAGACATTCAAATTTGGACCAATGTTCATGCCTCAAATCAGCTGCACTGAATCCATTTTCATTCATTCTTAACTTGGAGAAATTACTATCTAGAGGAAATAATAAATATCCAGACACCCGCAAAGACTATCTTCGATGGAAGGCACTGATGACAATACAGATAAAAAAAATGTTCATTCTGCTGTGTCTACTGAACTAGAGAGCTTGCATTACAACTGTCTTATTTAAAATGGCATAGTTTCATTGCTAAGGTTCAGGTGAAGCAAATCAGGCATTTAAAAGCTCACTGCTGAGCAGATGAAACTGTCCTAAAACAGATTCTGATGAAACTTCCCATTAAACAGCAGAAGTAAATCATATCTGCATATTGAATTACTGAAATTGTAGCAGTTTTTACTACTATTTTAACTACAAATACTAAAACTACATGCTAAGAAATTGTAAACAATGAACTATATCATGATATTTACAACTCCTAGCCAAAAGTTAAAATATTAGCTAAATGTGGGTTACATAAAGGAAATACAACAAAATAAACTTAATATTTTGTGACGTCACCATTTGCCATAATTAGTGCTCCCAATATGTCAGGCATGGTGTGGATTAATGCTACACATTCATTTCTGGTGATGCCGTTCCAAATGTGTCGAATGCACATCACTAGTTCCTCTTTAGAAGTTGAACATTCATTAAGTTGTTGTTTCATGACTCCCCACAAAATTTCAATGGGTTTAAGTCTGGGGAATTGTTTGGCCAAGGCAGGATTGTAATCTGTCGTTCTTGTAACCAACGTATCGTTGACTTCGTGGTATAAGAAGATGCTTCGTCTTGTTGAAATAGAAATGTTTTCTCAATTAAATCTTCTGCCAATAGTATCAAAAATGTCACTAAGATATCTTGATATGTTTGTGCATTGACATGTTCCCAAAGAATGCATAGTTGTTCTATGCCGTTAGTATTCATGCATCCCCAGATCATGACAGATGATATAAACTTCACGGATCTCTTCACACAGTCCTTTTCAAAGGCCTCTTTGGTTGTTTTCCATACACGTGGGGCCTTGGTCATCACAGGAGAGACAAAACAGGAATTCATCACTGAAGAGAATATTATTCCAATTGTCTTGTTCCACATGAACCTCTCTCTGCACCATCTGACACTCGCTTGTCGTTGCCTTTTCGTTAGAGTGTTATACTGCTATGCCCATCAATATGGAAATTCACATTATAATTTAGTTTTTATGGCTGTTTGTTTGGTTGTTTTTTGTCATGGTCAAACTGTTATTCTATTGTATTTTTTATTTTTTTTAATTTTTTTTTTTTTTTTTTTATTTTTTTTGTCATTTCATTTCCATTTGTAACAAAAAAAAAAAAAACATTTAAGTTAATTTATCTGATTTATGGGTATAATAAATTTAAATAGACATTGTTTATGTAGGGTCAAAAAAAAGTTTTGTACTCTGTGTTGTTCATGAGAAAATGTACACTAAACTTTCAGTTAGGTGAATATTCTAACTTTTTGTCTAGGAGTTTTATATCATCTACAGTTTTAATATGGAGTATAAAGCTGACAATCATGAGCCTATCAGAGCTTCATATCTTCTCCAATAAATCATGGCCAATTTAAAAACTCTTACTTTTTCTCTTTCTTTGTCCTGTCTCCCAAGAGTACACAAAGCTTTACAACAATTAGATTGGAATTTCTTTGCCATTTCTCTTGGTAGAGATCCAGCTGATGATACTGTCAAACTTGCAGTTTTGCACAGATTGATACAAGAGAAAGTTGTGAATCCTGCTCAAGAATTTGGTAAACTTGCAAAAGAAGCCTTCTAAAGCATAACAGTTCTGTTTCTGTAATTTTCTGACATGGAACAAGATTGCTGAACGTCAGATGATGCATGGAACGCGGACACACAAACTTCAATTTGTTCAAAATATAATGATATCTTGTTTTAACCAGCAAAATTAGCAAATTTATAAGTTCACATACACAATTTTCAGTAGTCAATATGTTCAGTGTAAGACCACTGCTGAAAACCTTGCATTTAGCAAAATCTGTCTTCACAAATTTGGTAATGGTTGATACTAGACTAAAGCTAGGCATGGAGGAATGATGAAAGTCTGTACACTTTGAGTGATTTGATCAGGCTTCTGGATCTTTAACAAAAGTGTAACAGAAGTTACATCAGTTACTTACCATATTATGTCAGTTACCAGAATTCCAATTTTTTATGTCATTTACAGCAAAGAATAGATGTTTCTGAACCATATGTACACAGAAGTTATCATGTATATACAGAAATAAAAGCAAAAATATTTTAAAAAACATATGAATTCAGAAAAATTTACATGTTTTCATATCCCCTTAGAAACATGTTTTCATATCCCCTTAGAAGTAGAATTAGAATCACTAATTCTAAGGGGATTCTAAGGGGACACTAATTCTGCTACATCAGTTATCACACTTTTTGATTTCTATAAAATCTACCAGTACAATGATTTCACATGTTTTCTCAATAATTATTATAGTATGACTAATACTTGATAATTTTATAGTACTTCCTTCAGCACTTTTAATTAATTAAAATTATTTAATAATGGTGTGAAATGTCTGTTAGAGCAGTTACCAAAGAATAACTCTTCAATGCATTAGTGCTTTATAAAGTCAAATTAATCTTTCAAAATTTGGAAATATATGAATTTAAATAATATACCTGAACTTCTGTTCTTCCACTCTGCTGACCTTGAACGATTGAAGACTTTAAAGTAGCTATCCTCATATCTGCAACTCTCAAAAATGGTGCTACTAAATCAGTGATGCAAACTTCACCACGCCGATTCAGAAGATAAGCTTCTCGACCTGAATTATGATCAACACTGACAAATCTTGTATATACATCAACATGTGATTGTTGATAACGAAGTCTGCACACAACATCAAGTTCCTGAAAAATTATTAATTTTAATAGTTAAAATATAAAAATTAATAAACATTATATACATTTCATACTGACACTAAATTTATCATTATCTAGAAACAACAAAAGACATCATTAATAATATTTTGTCCTAATAAATTTAATACTTATATGTTCTTGTTTCACAGACAAAGTTTCTATTATAATTATTTTTGCTGACATCTTAGTCTATGAGTGTATTGAATATTCATAAATTGTATATATAAACATGTAAATGTGTACTAACACATGGACTATGGAATGTCATGAAATGGGATCAGGGTATCTCAATACCATGCTTTCTATGCACATGCAAGATCCTCTTCATCCTTCATGTAAATGTATTTATGCTACCTTGAAGATTCGTATTCTTCTAATAATTCCATTCCTTTTAATTTTGCATCTGTGCTGGTGAATTGTATAAATTATGTTCCCCACACATCTATTTATTTGTGTATTCTATATTCCTGGTACTTCCTTTGCAGCATGCCATGCTGCAAAGGAGGTGACCAGTAATCCTTTTCTGACGATATACTTGTGGTCCTTGAATCTAGCCCATAATGAACATGCTGTAGCACCAACATAATCAAAGTTGTTATTAAATTTATCATCTCTAACTGGAATGAAATATAACCCAAGAATTCTGGTTCTGTCAATTTTTCCTTTGTCATTTCTCAGGATATACACTGCTGGGTTTTCTCTAAAACATAATCTTGTTTTCATATTTCTTACAATGTCTTTGTAAACAAAAACAAAATGGAAATGTTAAAAAATTACATACAATGTAATACAGAGAATTTTTCCTGTATGAAAACCCAAAATTACTGTTATGCAGGGTTTATTGATATTCTCAAATAATGTTAAAGTGAAACTGTTTTATATGAAAATTGTCTAAATTCTCTTACTGTACTCAAATGCAGTACCATATTATACAGGGGTTATAAACATTGGGTACTGTCATTTTAGGAAGCATGCAGTTTATAGCAAAAAATATAATTTACAACAAAGCAATAAAAGTGTCATGTGGAAGAATATAAGTTCTTTTATCTTGAATAAAAATTAATTGATCACTGATCAAAAATAAAAGGAAGTGAAACAAAGTTATACTCAAATTATAAATAAAATAAAAACAATCCTTTACGATTTATATAAAAATATAATTCAATGTAAAAATCAACTATATTGACAATAATAGTAATAATAGTAACCAAATTCCTTGTCTGCTTTCTAATGACTAATTTGAATCTTTTTTTTTAAATCAAAATTTAAATTGAATAAGTTAATAAATTATAATAAAAATAATAATTCACACCTCAGTTTCTTCTCTATTTATGATACTTCCCATATTACTGCGATTTCCAATATTAGCACGATTACTGGAATTTATTCCTCCAGAACCCATAAAAGTAGTAGATTTTCTGAAATTAAAAAAATTTGTTATAATATAAAACCACATGATGCATATTACATTTCTTTTCTAAAATGAATTTATTATTTTAAAAATTATTTTTATTTATAAATTTAGTTCAATTTACAATTTTTTAAATGTTTAAATTCCAGAATACACTAAGTAGTATTATGAAAACATTAATCCACCCATCTACACATTATAATATTGAAATATGATGATTCTAAAATGTTTTAATATAANTTGTATTTAATCATAATTAAATAACACATACACATTTTATCACCATCTTCAGGTTTGAAATCCAGAACAAAATCTAAAGTCAGCAGTTATAAGGTGCAAATTGAATTTAATGCATGCCAATATTTAAAATTAATCAAATCAAAATTAATTTTATGTGAAATTATATATTTAAATATATTTTATTTGTATATTAGTTAATAATAAAAATAGAGTAACTATACCTACAACTATACAGATTGTTCCAAAAAGAATTATGTTAATTATTATCCAAGAAATATGCATTATATATCAATTGAGTAACTGTTTGAGTTTCTTCTATCATATGTGCATTTACACATCTTATTTTGCAGCCTCTTGGTAGTGTTGTAAAAAAAAAAAAAATGACAATTCTGCAACAGAGAAGGTGTTTCATGTCCTGCAGCAAGCAAAGTCAAAATCAGTCATCATTGTGCAACAAGAATGTTGACCTTATATGGTGGATCACTTTGAAATTGCCTACGCAACTCAAAAAATCATCTAAAATCATGTTATACAGTAATGACCATTTCTGACTTTGCCAAATGCAGAACAGAAAATGTATTGTCTGGTGGAGAGTTGCAATTTTTGTTTATGGCACTTCTTAGAGTAGCAGACAAAAAGACATTTGCATGCAAATGGTAGATAAAACTCAGACCTTTACTCAAAACTCAGATCCATTGGGGTATATGTTAGTTCAAAAAGTACAAATAAATCTTCTATAAAACTTCTATTTTAAATATTTACTCTTGTATTTTTCTTTCGGAAACATTTTATATAATTATATCGAAATGTTTTTCCCTCATAATCCTGTGGGTACAGGTGTTTAATGGTTATTTTGGTGAATCAACAGTCCACTACTTTAGAATTTAACCATTATTTTCTCTAATTGTGTGCTTTCTTTATTAGATGTATTTTTGGTCATGTTAATACTTCATAGCCCCTTTTCAGTAAAACTAATATTAAAGAAAATGTTTTTAAAATTATAAAACTTCTAAAATAAATGAACATTAAATATCTACACTAAACAACACCAGGGTGAAGTCATCTACATACCAAAGCCTGTTACCGGTGTGAAACTCAAATAAAAAACAAAAAGAACGAAAAAACAGTATTTCAAAAACGTTTTTGAAGAACCAGAAACGGTTCTTCTTCAGGTGAATGGCAAATTTCTGATTGAATGCAACTAAATAAGAACACAATTTGAATGTTTATTCGAATATGTGTTTCTTCATGTTGTCCTACTGGGCATGCGCATTCTATCTGGTAGCATCTNGCTTTAAGTCGGGTCCGCAGCTCATTCAAATCTAATGGTTTCTGGAACATTCTCTATTGGTCTAGATCTGACCAATCCCAAAAAGCCATGATTCTGCCACGACATGTGGTGTCGTAGTGGACTCATGTCTTGCTAGGATTGGTTAAATCTGGACAAAATCTAGTCAAATCTAGCATAGGGAAAAATCGGGAAATTACACAACGAAACAGCGAATTGCGCAGCAGTGTTATTGTGAATCAGCGTAAACCGAGGGCTACCTGTAGTTATATATAATTTTAAAAAATTGTCATGTTACTGTTTATTAATAACTTTAATAATTAAATAATTCTGAAATCCCTAAAAACAAATACAGTAATTCATAGTTAAATTACAATTAGAAATCCTACATGCTTATAACTGTCACCAATTATAGCATATGAATATGAGACTCTGCACTATGTAATTTATTATATTCATTCAAGTATAAGTTCTTGTTTTTATTTATTTGTCCATTCAAATGTTCATATGTTCAATCTATAAATTTTTGACAAAATATTTACAGATTTATTATCAATAAATTGGCAAATTTATGATAATTAATAGAATATGTAGACAAATGGCCCAACCTCCACCTGTTTCACTCCCTTTTCTCAATTTCAGTCAGGGCAGCCTAATCCCCAGATCACTTTGCTCTACCCCCTTGCTTCACTCAATATTCCCCATAGAAATGGCTCTCCTTCAGCCCAACCTATGTTTTATTTGTTCCTTTTGTTTAAAATCTCCCTCTGTGCACTTCTGCTCAATTGCCCTACCAGTTTTGTCCATTTGTTCCCAATTTAGAGTATTTATAAAAATTTTGATATATCATCAATTCCTGGTGCCAGCCAGATTTTTTTCCTTAAAAAAATTGCTATAAGAATTTTAAACTAAATATTTTATACAGAGGAAGTAGATACCAGATAATCTATCTATAATTCTGTAATTTTTTTATTTTAGTTTTTCACATAATTGGTTATATTTTAACACTTTTTATGTTTCTACAGCAACATATTTATCCTTATGTTCAGGGCTGAAGAGTTGGCTTTTTTTTTCTGCCTGTTCTAACTTCAGAATCAATATTTTCAGCAAGTGAAGTCTTAAACAAACTTCTTAATATTTATATAATAATGTCTACCATTTCATCAGTGAAATGTAATTCATTAAGATAATTTAACTAATTAGCAATGGACTGATGGTCTAATGATAGAGGATTGTAGCTGTGGTGTTCCTACTTTATTTAAAAGACAAAAATTACAAAACATTGCAATGTTCCACATATAGAAATAACCCTGCCAAGTTTCAAAATTTTAGGTTGTCAGTCAGTCCTAAGATATAATTCAAAATAGACAATGACAATGACAGCAACCATCACAAATACACAGAATTTTATATGCAAGCTTTTTACATTTTTGGATTCATGGAGTGTCAAAACATTAAAAAAAAAAGTGGGCCAAAATTTGATCTAACACCAAACTTTCTCTATGTTATATTCTAAGAAAGTAAAAATAATGAAATATAGAAGTCAGTTAAGGGATTAGAATCAGTAAATTTTTTGCCAACTCCAATACAGACTCCTACAGACACTGACATGAACTCTCCATTCCTGGTTATGTTGCTGTAATTACAATGCTCTTATCTATTAATTCATAAAACTAATTTGAACCTAAACACATTCAAACTTATGTAATTTTCTATAAAATTTATTCTAATAAAGCATTTTTTAAAATTTTTTTAAATCATGATGATAAAAATATTTTAAAATAAAATGGTTATATAGTTTCTGTATAAAAACATAGGAAAAAATAGAGAATTGGGCATTTATAAAATCAAAATATAAAACATAAGAAATAAGGATAATTTTTTTATTGTAAATTATTATGTTAAGCATGACAAAATAAACCAGTAATAAGTTGTTTAACTTTCCCATCAATGTTAAAACTGCATGTGGTGCCATCTATTATAATATTTTATTTAAAACTTTTTATATTTTTAAATTATTATAAAATAGCAAAAAGCTTATTTTTGAGGGTAGGAATAGATTTTATAAAATTGTAAATGCTAATAATGAGTAAAATTGTCATTAAGTCTGACCCTGCTCGAGATATGCCAGGATATGCCCTTTATCTCACCAATCCCTCAACCTTAACTACTGAAATTTAATAGCATAAACCTCCTAATACACTGTAAAATTTCTGTAAACCTCACTGTAAAATTTCAGAAATTTTCAAGGACATTTAATAATGCCTGTGCTTTCTGTTGTTTTAAAGAGGGTGAACAAAATCATGCCATATGCATGCACACACATATACACACAAACACCCCCCTAATATCCATACATACAGAAAATAAAACCCTGAATTTTTTTGCATTTCTCAATGTTTCAAGATCCCAAGTCCAAAAAAATGTAACAATCTCGGGAGGGTCACTCTGACTGATTGCCATAATTTCTCTCTGTTATATATAACAGAGCTGGGATATTAAAATAATTAAATACTGTAAAGAAAACATAAGGATAGATCATTCTAATTTTGCCAATGTTGTGTTTTAAGAGAAAAAGTAAAAGTTTAAAATGATATATATAAAGATTATATAAATTAAATTGATCAAATAATTAAAGATGGCTAAGCAAAAACTATAAGAAAATTCAATAAATAAACATATATCGATAAACTAAAAATCATGATTAACTTTTTAGAGATTTGAAAAATGTTGCAAAATTACCAAAAATAAGAAATCTATATTAAGAAGTTATTATTGAGAAATAAATGAAGTTATTTACTTAAAGATGTCAATTAACAAAATCCATAGACTTATTTATATTTTCATGAATAATTAAACAGTAGTAATTAATAATAGGAAAAAAATTCTAGTCTTAATTAATTAACTAATTCTTATGAATAATGTTAAATCAAACAGAATCTAAAATTTAAATTTTTAGCAAATTTAAAAATACATAGAATGTAAAAGTCATTGAAAGATATTTATATTTGTTACTAGCAATTAATTTGAATTCTAAAGCTAATATATTTTTAGGTCAAGTGGAACATTTACATCTTTGTGAGTTAAAGTTTTTAATTAATATTAAAGAATCATTTAATAAACAAAATGCAATTAAAACTAGCTTATTTACATTATCAAATATACTTTTTGAATATTTTATATTTTTAAAATTATAAATATTTATGTAAAATAAACAGATACAAATATTAAAAATGTATAATTTTTTAAAATTACTAATATTTATTTACACATACTTTAAGAATAGATTCATCAGCAGAATGACATGATGATTGTAATGTAACATCGCCAACTTTTCCTGCTTGACTTACAACAAAAACTTTCATAGGTTGAGATACTTGTCTTCCAGTCAGCACTGCTGTATTAAGAAGTTGTGTAGTCTGTAAATGATAATAAATTAAAACAAGATATAATAAGACTTCCATAAGTAGACTGTATGGTAAGTTAATCAGATATTCATAACATCTATTTCATAATAAGTTTCGAACACCTTTCTCTCTTTTCTAGCAATATCTTTAATTAAATCAAAGAACTAATTTTTTTTTAACTAATTCTATTTCAATTAATTTTTTAATTTATTTAATTATATTTCATATTTCAAGTAATAAAATTCACAGATAAATGTTCTTAACTGAATTAAATTAATTAATTTACTGATAACAAAGTTCAAAAAGTAAGAAATACATGTGGGGTGAGTGTGTTTATTAACCAACAGTCTTAAGGGGCATGCAGGTTTATGCATCTTTGCCTCAAAGAACAATCTTGGGCAAGCAACATTCATTGACAGATTGAGAGGCCCTGCTAATGAAACTACCTGGGAGTGCTATGACTTTATGTGTTTTCCTTGGTATAATAGCCATAGGGTCTTCTTTTAATACAACAGATTTAGATTGCTCTAGGAATTTATTGGCTCTTGATAGGAAGTCCTGATTTTTACATAGCATGAATCTTTTATCTTTATCTGCCACTAACAGATTTAAATTGTTACTTCCAAAAAACAATTTTACCATCCGAGCAGTTTGTATGTTCAATTTCTTGGTCTTCGAACATCACTGAAACGCTATGCTAGTTATCATAGACAGCTCCAATTTAGGTTGTAATTCTGGACAGCAGGTGTTCTTTATAGCAGCTATGGTGGGTGGAATAAGTTAAAAATAATCCAACTTTGGAGTGGGTATATGCTTCAGCCCTTGTAATAATATTTGATGAACATTCTCTGGTACCTTTTGCGAAGTTATAATATGGAACCTCCGTAGTTCTGGTTTGTATTCTGCAGGAGGCTTTCTGTAACCAATAAAACTTATTGTTCAAATTTTTCCTGACTTCATGTGCTTTTTTGTTAGCTATATATCTTATTTTATCTGGTTGTTGGTACAGAATTTTTCAATCATATAGCTTCATGAATAAGAGGTGGGCCAGGTACAGTACATCCTTTCTTCTTTTGCAATTGCTTTCCATTTGCTGTTAATTTTTCTAGGCAACTTCATTCCATTCGGGGCAACACGGTTTGGACATCTACTGGAAATGAGTTATACTTGAAAGTAATACACTTGGGGATGAGTCCATTTTTACGACACTTTAGTAAGAATCAAAGCTGAGCTTTTTGCTTTAACCACAAAGTTCTAGTATTCAATAACAAAAAGAAGTATTTTCTAGCAGTTTTCATAATGATTATAAGAAGACACTTCATGCCAACAATCAAATAAAATAATTGACACCTCAGTGTTGCAGTGTTATAAACACAATTTATAATTAAGATGTACTTGCTAGTACTTTTGATAGTGTACAGTCATCATCTTCAGGAGAAAAAGAAATCGAATATGATTAATTTTCGAAAATTTGGTTTTTGAACAGACTTTTCAAATTATGCAAGGCACATGAATGGAATATAAAACAAATTAAAATTAAATTAAAATATTTTCAAAAATTATAGATGTATGTTGTATTTGACATTATATTTTCAAAAACCCCTTTTAAAAAGCAATTTAGTAAGCCTTATATGGTTGTGAAATATGTATGAATATAAAATTACAAATTAAATTGTTTGAATAAAGTTACCCACAGTTGTGGGATTTCTAAAGTTGGTGTATTGTATGGTGTTACTGCAGAAATATAGTGGTTCTCCCATATAAATACCTGTCTATGATCATTGCACTCCTTAAGTATTTTAGTGTGTGCCCAAAGCAGTAAATAACCCTGGTCTAGTACCCTTTTAGATAATTCAGTTGCTGGTCTGTTGTTTTTAATGTCTTCTTGATGTTCCAGGATACAGGACTGTAGCATTCTAGTAGTAGCCCCAATGTAAATAATTTCCTCTCCTGATAGTACATGTTGTAATGGGATTTTGTAGACTCCAATTTTTCATTTAATGTGAGAGTATCTCTATCATTACATAACACTCTTTGTAGTGTAGGTTGGAGGATTATAAGCAAAGTAAAGCCATGCTTTCTAAAAAGACATGCTATTCTCAGCAATATAGGTAAATGGTATTAGGGTTGTACTATTCTCAGTTCATCCTTGTTGAGGAGGAAAGACTGTGGAAACAAGTTGTTTTTGACTCAGTTATACAAATATCAAAATCTGGAAAGAGAATAACCTGCATTGTGTACTACTCTATTAACAAACTGTAATTCCTTGTTTATTAATGTCTGGGTGAATGGGAGAAGGCGCACTCTATGAATAAACAAAGTAATTGCAGAGTTTACAAAGTGTGAAGGCTGGAAAGCAGTCACAGGGATAATATGTGGCACCCTGTTTTTATAGTGTACAGAATATAGCAGTTCAGATAATCTATGTATTTCCAGATCTAAAAAAAAATTTTGGCATTTATTTCTTCTTCCACAATAAAATTGATAGATAGATATATAGATCCTAACATATGAATAAAGCCATCTAATTCATCTGTGGAACAATTCCATGCAAGCAAAATATCATCTACATATTGTAATTACAGGATTGGATAGTGGACATCCAAAGGGGTGTTGAAAATACTATATTCTATATTCTATGTTCCTCATGATGAGTTCTGCCAAAATGGGTGAGAGGAGGGAATCCATTGGTCCACCTTGATCTGTCTGTATTTGTTTTTTCTTTTGTAAATCAGATTTAAAATAAAATCTGTTTGATTCAATTGAGTATTTTGACTCTTTCTTTTTGTGCTCTTTTCAACTATCACAATATTAATTATGTAGTAGGTGGTAAACAAATAGAGTTCACATTATTAAAAATATGTCAAGGGTAGCTCTACTTTTGGCCACAACTGTAGATTACATCTAAAAGTAAATACACAAATATATTGAAAATCAAAAGTTATAAATTAGAAATTAAAATAACTTACTTTTGCAATTGGTAAAACTGCTTCCACATCATCTTTTTGAATATCAAGACGAGATGTCATTTTCATGTTATCATCATCAAAATCATATTGTTCAGCCATTCTAGAATCTAATACATAACGTAATAACCAAATAATTCTTCCATTATCATGAAAATTAGCATCTTCTTCGACTTCAAACAACCATGTGAATATTTCTTGAGCACTTAAAAATTCATTAAAATCAATATTTTATATATCAGTTTTGCACAAACAATTTAATTTAATATTTTAAAAATTAACTTTGGTTTATAAATTTATAAACACAGTTGAATCTGTCTATCTAAACTCTCACAGGAACAAGAAAACATTTGCAATAGACAGGTTTTGTTATATTGAGGTTCCTACACAGTAAATAGTAACAAATTTAATTGGAAGTACAGTATTTTATTAATACAATAGCAAGTACAGTACATACTTGTATTAGGTATGAATAAAACATTTTTTGTCATAACAGAAATAGCTTGTAAATAATTTCTGATGCATGACTTTTTTCAACCAATAAGATGCAACCAAACTCATAGCCAATCAGAAAAAAGCAGCATTAATTTTCCTTGTTTATCTCAAATAATTTTCTCCCAAAACATCTATATCTCAAATTAGGAACTGAAGTATCATTTATAATTTCAAAGCTCAGCAGCCACATTTTGATAGTATAAATTATAGTTGAGAAACATCTGCGCAGAAGATGTTTCTCAACTATATAAGATATAGATGTTTTGGGAGAAAATTATTTGAGATAAACATGGAAAATATATTAAATTTAGGCAGAAAATGCAGGGGGAAAAAATAAATCTCAAGATAAAGTGGTTTCCAAATAAACATTTTTAAGATAAACAGATTCAACTATATAGTTATATATAGTTAGTTATAAATATTATAGTTATAAATACAGGTAGCCCTTAGTTTACACCGCAGTTCCGTTCCTACAAAAGCCGGCGCAAATCAAATCGGCGTAAAACGAACCCATATTTACAGTGAGGTATAGGGTTAGGATCTACATAAGTGAAAAATAAGCAAATAATTTTGTTTATTAATACAATATTATACAAAATATGTATAAATTTAATTTTTAAAATGTATTTTATCATAAAATTAAGTAAAATGTTTTTATTAAAACATTTTAGTTTCGTATCTCTTACATTTTTCGGAAAAAGTATCCATCTTTAATTGTATACATTTTTGTTTTCTTTTATTAAGAATTTCAGAATATGGTCAAATGGATGTGATGATGCTCCTTTTTACATTTGCACTTCACTCCCAATCATTGTCTAACTCACAAAGTTCATCTGTCAAACTTTCCATAGTTGAAAGGATATGATTTAGATTGGCCGTTTTCATAACTCTTGGAGTTTCTTCTTCGTCGTTCTTCTGTAGCTTTAAGTCGGGTCCGCAGCTCATTCAAATCTAATGGTTTCTGGAACATTCTCTATTGGTCTAGATCTGACCAATCCCAAAAAGCCATGATTCTGCCACGACATGTGGTGTCGTAGTGGACTCATGTCTTGCTAGGATTGGTTAAATCTGGACAAAATCTAGTCAAATCTAGCATAGGGAAAAATCGGGAAATTACACAACGAAACAGCGAATTGCGCAGCAGTGTTATTGTGAATCAGCGTAAACCGAGGGCTACCTGTAGTTATATATAATTTTAAAAAATTGTCATGTTACTGTTTATTAATAACTTTAATAATTAAATAATTCTGAAATCCCTAAAAACAAATACAGTAATTCATAGTTAAATTACAATTAGAAATCCTACATGCTTATAACTGTCACCAATTATAGCATATGAATATGAGACTCTGCACTATGTAATTTATTAAGATAGCTAAATCACAACATAATGTCTTCAAAATAAAACTTTGTTGAATAACTGTCAACTTTCACACCTGGGAGTAAATTGTCTGTTAAGTTCTCTGCAGTGAAAGTGACGCTTTCTCATAACCTTCCGACTTACTGTCTCAATTTCATCAGTTCAATATAGCAAATAACTGCAAGTTTAAGTAGTTGTTGTCAGTTCCTCAACCGGGCCACTCGTTTTCCCTGTGCCTCAAATTTCTAATACATTTGGATACATCGTTTTCTTATAAGTTCAAATATATTCATTCTATTATATTGTTGGATACAAAGTTTTAATTATCTTTACATGTATGCTTCTCGCCTATGGCCATAGTATCAATTGTACACCCGAAATAAGAACTGTCGTCTCCAACTTTCTTCCTATCAACCCAACCGACACGCATCAGATCTCCATCCTCTACACGATCCTTTACATAGTATTTATCCCAGTGCAAATCTCATGTGAACTTGCTCTCTCATGACTGCTAGATAGACAGGCTAAGTTGATATAACACAATAAATATATATCGTATATTGTGGTCTATCATGTACTCCTTTTCATTAAAATTAAATGGTTATTTAGTTGTTAACTTTGGTGTCTGAGTACTTTACTTTCATCAAACTGTCTCTCTGTCTCCATCCGGAACACGATCACTTACTCACATGGCCACTCATATGACCTACTTTTTAATCCAAACGCCATCACGGCTTCCATGTCAACCGAGACACAGTGATGTCAGTCCTGAAAAGGTATGAAAAAGGTGCCGACTCTCCAGTCACATGAGTATTAAATCAGATCTTTTCCAGATTTGAATGTAATTGTTATAATAATTCATTGGATTTAATCAAATTATTCATGTGATTAGTTTATTACTAATTTGTACTTCAATAACTTATTATGTATTATTGTTATTTAAAAAATAGATTCAACTAATCTCAGGTTAATTCTTAATTCACTATGGATAAATATCAAATAATAGACATTATATACAGAAATACTTTTTTATGTATTGTAAAACATTGTATGATAAATTCAAGAATTAACAATGCTGGAAGGATTTACATTTATTGTCTTTTGTTGCTGGAGACAGTTATTCTAAACAGATTTATATTATGATGATAAACTGCCCAAATACTTAAGAGCCCGAAACGTGTAAAATTTTCACACGTATCGACTAAATAAAGATGAGAAAACCCGCCAAGTGTCTTAATTTATACCACTTTATTGTGTTAGAAGCATAAAAAAAAGATTTATATTAATTTAATAATGTATGATATGTATACAGTAGAACCTCGAAAACTCGGCTCTCGATAACCCGGCACTCCGGATAACTCGGCCACACCCTGGCAGGGCAAAAAAATCCTTAGTTAATTAATTTTCATTATAGACAGCTTTATAAAAGTATAAAAGCTCTCATAAAGTATTTTTCTGAGGTCTGTCTTATCAGGTAAATTACTGTACACAGTGTATTCATTAATTTTCATTTTCATGTAGTAAAGGCTCTATGCCTTCATAAAGGACGTACTTTTCCTTTGTTTAAGGGTATTTGGGCAGTTTATTCTCTGTTGTATTCTCAAGCAAACAATACATACAAGTACAGTACAGTATTTTCTGAGGAAACACGCATACTTTATCCTTTTTTAACCCCATTCCCGATAACCCGGCATTTTCACAAACTCGGCTACCCTTCGGTCCACATTAGGCCGAGTTTTCAAGGTTCTACTGTATTAACAAGAACAGACGTATATTAATTACAGTTGTACAGTACATTAATAAGTACAATTCTAGGAAAAGTACAGTATTAATGAAATATTTTGTCCATTTACTAACAAAATTCTACTTTTTTAAAATTTTGAGTTTAATAAAATTTTGTTTAGGGAATGTTTTTGATCTAGAACACTCTTGAACCAGTTCCAATTTATAGGAGCTATGAAGAGTACGCTTTAGGAATGAATCTATCAAACTTAAAAAAAAGTCTTAAAAAAATCAAATTAAAGTTCTGTTTAGTGCAAATAAAAGCTAAAAATTCATTTGTGAATTAATTCAAACCTAACTATATTTAATGAATATTTTGATTTGCTTATTTCTGGATGGAACAATTTGTTGAATTTTGAAGTAATGCAAGTTTTTCGGTTCACACCCATACACACACATTTTATTTTTCCCAAATAAAACAAAATCTTACTCGTTAATTACCATAATTTTCTGCAAATAATTGTTTCTGTGTAAAAAAAAAACAAGTTTTCAAAGGAATAACATTAAAAAATTATGCATGAATATAAAAATTATAAAGAAAATTTTTTCCACATTCCATAAAGATCATAGGAAGTGACTGTATCTTTCTTGAATTCATTTCCTTTCAAAAAGTGACATATCCTCCGAATGAGTTCACAAGGAATATAATACCTAAAATTTGCCTATTGAATTAAAACCCTGACATTACCAAAGATGGGCATAGAAATTAAAGAGGAGGACCCCCAAATAAAAGAGAATTGAAGGATGACAAGAGTTTGCAGTCATTGAGAGTTTGCAACTAGTCTCTATGTTCAAGAGGATTCAGCCATACTTTGCTGCCTATCCAGTCATCATTGCTGGTCACTGCCTAGGCCAACTTACTGTTTACCAGTCCATCCAACAATATTTATCTACCAGTATACCTATCATCAGAGGGTCCCCACATCGAACTACCTGACATCCTACTCTACAAACCAAGAGTCCATCTACCTATTACCAATGAGTAAAAAACCTAAACACCCAGTGCATACTTCATCATCCTATCGAATGAGTCAGTCATCTCCTATCAAGTATCTGATCTCCAAGGAAATCCAACAGCCCGAGGTATTTATCATCTAAAAAACAGTTAAATTTAAAAACTCACGCCAAGCTTTGTATAGTTTCTGGATACAAATTCACTGAGTTCAGAGTTAATAAAGTTCCTTTAGTTAGCGTTAATAAAGTTCTGAATTTGTATCCAGAAACTATACAAAGCTTGGTGTGAGTTTTTAAATTTAACTTTTTACTTAAAGATGGAAACTGCAAAATTACTTTTCTTTTTATTGCTGAAGCAAGTGAAGCTGTGGCAAAAATTACTTGCCCAATTGCAATTTCTTTTGATGTGCAGAAAAAAAACAGGTAGTACCGAAGAGCATCCAACTCAAACGCAAGGCATTCCCGGTATGCCTGCGAGGGATGTTTCCGAAGGTGGAAAATCCTTCTTAGCTAAGCTAATCAGGAAAGATTCGAACATATCAAAAACTAGTTGTACACGTTCTTAATGGAATTTCTGGACACCTGGTTTGAATTTAAATATTCTTTTCCTTTGGAACATCCTGCATGTTTGTTTCGTTAAAATTTGTTCTTTTCACCTGAAGACGACAGTTATACACTCATCGAAAGTGCTTGTGTTAATACTAAAAGAACTTTATTAATGCTGAACTCAGTGAATTTGTATCCAGAAAGTATTTATCATCTCATGCCCAAGTGTAAACACACTCTCTCAAGCTTAAAGACTCCTAAATGAATAACTATTATAGTTGGAAGTGTAGAACCTTATGTATAAATAAACGAATATTTATTTGTTTTAACCTGTAGTAGAGTGCATTCCTTCTGCTACGCTGTCTCTTAAACCTCCTCCATTCTGAAACCAACCGCCTACACATGTGGCCGCTCACATGAAGCAATAACCTAATGGCCAAAGCAGCTTCTGTGTCCCTAAGAATGCAGTGATGTCAGTCTTGATGTAGACATCCCAACGTGGTGTCAACCCTTCAGTCACAACCCATATAAAGCAGATAGCCATACAACACCACAAAAACCTAAACAAAATATGGAAATCTGACCTTATCAGTACACAAACAAAATTCAACTTTACAACACCAGTAAAGCTATATTTCTTTGTGGCACCCAAGCCTGGAACCTAGTCACCAAAGAATTTGTTAACCTTATCAACAGTTTTCACACAACTTGCTTAAAGAATGTCTTTGGCCACATGTGACATGGTCTTAAATATAATGAAATTTTAGATGAAAGCCAAGCATTTCCTCTAATAAACAACATGATTTTCAAGTTTGATGTTGGGTTACCTTCTTTGATATCCACACAGCCTCTACTTTGATATGTTAGTCCTCTTCAGCCCAGCCAATGGACACAGGAAGAGAGAAAGACCAAGCACCTAATTCTGGCAATACGTAAGTCAAGTCATAAGCATCAAAAGTGCATCACTCCAATCTATCTATGATGCAGCTCAAAATCAAACAGGTTGTTGTTAAATTCAGCGCTGCAAACAGCGCTTCTAAGCGATGCCGCTGAGAGCGTTGTTAAACTCGTTTTCTTGAAGCGCTGCACGCAGCGAACGTCTCAGTGATTTCACTGGTTCGAGGTTAAATCTGCAGCGATCAAACAAGGTGCTTTTTGCGCTTAAACAAAATGGCAGCCACCACAATGGAATTCGTCGAATTTGTTTACGAGAACTTAAAAATTGAACTAAAAGTTGATTCTTCAATTAAACATCGTTTAGAAAATGGTAAGTTATTGTTTTTCATAACGCTTTATTAATTACACGAAATAAACTCGAAATTCACACAAAAAATTATATATTAAAGTTTGTGTAAAAGACTGTACAGGCATACTTTTTACATAATTGGTTTGATAAATTACATTATACAAATAATAATCACTTTCTACGCAATATTAGTATCTTAAAAGTAATTCCAACGTGATATTATTAAGAATTGCTGTAAACTAGGCTATATCATAAGCAAATTGCTATGAATGGTATAAATAAAGGCTTACATATCCTTTAATTTATAGGACTTTATACACGTGTATTTTCCAAAAAAGAAAAAAAAATGCATTTTGGATTTATAGTCTCTCATCAGTTGGAACATAATATTCAAATGTATACAATAACCAATTTATTACCCCTTGTGATAAAGGTTACCTTGAACAGTTACAGTTAAAATTACAATTAAATTGTATAAATTAGTTTTATTATGAATTGGAGGGTATGATAAGCATTTATAGCATTAATAATAGTAAAACTAGTTTAAAGTAATTAAAAAGGACAAGTCATTTGTTTAGTTCCTATCAAACAACAAAAGTTCATGTTCTTTTATGGTTTTCAGATCATGATTTCATTCCTCGGTTTTTTGAAGAACTGATATATGAGAGGGGAATGAGAGAACAGATTGGTTTACCAGAAGATGTTGATATTAATTCAATAAGACTGGCCAGCAAATCACACGAGGAGGGAGAATCAGGTATGTATATGTTTATATACATCAGTATATACATGTATATACTAATACACTATAAATAATAGTTGTTCTTTCATATTGTTGCAGGAGACTTCTCTTGGACTGATTCCTCCACGCGGTTGTTGATAACAACACGATTAAATATGGACGATGAATTCAGAAAACCCATAAGAAAAACAAAATTATGGGATTCAATATCAAAAAAGATGGAAAATCATGGTTACACTATTTCTCCCAGTGACTGTGATAAGAAATGGAGAAATCTGAAGACGACATATAAAAGAAATAGAGATAAGGCAAAACAACACACTGGGGAATCTGCCATTACCTGGCCATACTTCAAGTTACTGGACCAGGAACTTGGATCTAGAGTGGACATCAATCCTCCAGAAGAAAGTATCATTTCTTCTGAACCATGCGTGGAGCAGATCCCATCTCCCAGTGAACTTTCAAGCAGTTCGTCAGGATTGCCTGCCCACTCTGAATGTGATGTGGCAGCAGTACATCCCCCTTCAATAAATTCTTTTCGGAATCACACAAATTTAAAAAGAAAAAGAAAAGAAAATCCACCAGAGTGGTTTCAAGCTTGGGCCAGTAAGCAAGAACAAGAAAAGAAAGAGGATCGTGAGAGAGAAGATCAGCGCTGGCAGGAATTTAAAGAGATCGAAGAAAAGCGTTTGAAACAAGAGAAAGAATGTGAAGAGAAGAGAGTAAACATGATGAGTTCTCTTCTAAATGTATTGCAAAAAATTGCAGAAAAATAAAATAACAATATGTGAATTCATTGCATCTGATTTGTTTTATTTACAATAATTTTTACATTTGATATTTTTAATCTTTGCTCAATTTTTACATTTCCCCCAATTATTTAACTTTAGTATAATTCAATGAATTGTATAAGTGAGAATAACATTTATTAAACAATTTCATATAACTAATGAGAAAATGATAAAATTGTACATAAAATTTTAAATTTATATGATTTTACACATATATTTTAATAAAGTTTCTGATAATAAAGGCTAATAAATACATTTCTAACACACCGGTTTCATACATGCTGGGTTGATCAGCCAGTTTCAAATATATTATTGTATTAAAAACAAATTTCGTCTAGTCTCCTCGTCATTGTATCCTTACACTAGATTATCACTTTCTTGTGAATTGTCTCCTATACTACTATTTTGTAGTCTCATGACACCATAAAGATAATCAGCAATAGCATCCCTCTTATTATTTGCTGCATTAGTTGAATGTTGGCTTGGGTGAGGCTGGAAAGGAGTGAAATGTTTATCCTCATCTGGACTAACATCACTTTGTAGAATACAAAGATTATGTAAAACACAAGCAGTAAGAATAATTTTAGTTAAGTATTGCTTGTTTCTTACGAACAAAAATTTCAGTCGACGAAAGCGTCCAAACAGATCACCATATGCTTGTTCTATTACTATGCGAGATGAACTTAGTCTTTTATTAAAATATTTCTGTTTGGAATTCAGATGTCCATTGTCCTTGTAAGGAACCATCAAATATGTCTCTAGTGGGTATGCTGAGTCACCAAGTAAATGGCAGTTCTCTGGGAGTGGGAGAGTTTTATTTGATAACCCAATCCCTACATCACTGTTTCGCCACACCCTTGCATCATGTGCAGATCCCGGCCAGCCAGCATAAACTGCAGTAAACATTTTGTCACTTCTGCAGATCCCTTGAAGTATGACTGCAGTGCACTGCTTCCTGCTGTAATATTCTTGCTTTTCATGATGACAAACTGTTACTTGTATTAATGTCCCATCAACACATCCAAAGACATTTGGAAAGCTGTTTCTGCCCCTTAATGATGAAAAGTTTTTTACCACTTCTTGGGCATCCTTATCAACTGGCCATTTAATGAAAATTTCTTTTAAATTACAAACACCTTTACAAAATACTATGAACAACCTATGAGCATGTCCTTTATCTAGTCCAAAACGGTCACCTACGCCTCTAAAGGATTCCTGATTTCCTAAAATCCATAAGGACAATAGGACAACCTTTTCTTTTTTTACCTCTATAATGGATGACCGTCCAATTTTCTTCGTTTCTTTTAAATTCAGAATCTGGCAAAGGTATTCAACGCTTTCACGCTGAAGTCTGAAGTGGCCTTTAAAATCCAGATCACTGTATCGAGGAATAATTTCCTCATAATAGTTTTGTATCCTGGCTTTTTTCCGCGGTTGCACCACAACAGAACTTGCCATTCCAGCAATTACTTCGTCGTCATGTTTACGCTTCCTAAATAAGACATTGTATCGCAAAAATGAATTCTTTTTAAAATTTTTCGAATTAAATAATTCGCTAAACATTCCAACAATTGCACTGAGAGCCGCCATTTTGGAACTGCAGCGCTGCCCCGTGTGCGTTGTTAAAAGACATTCAGCAGCGATCGCAGCGCTCTTGCAGCCTAAGCTGCAGCGCTGCTCCGCGGCACTGAATTTAACAACAACCCGAAACTGTAGGGAAGAACATGCTAACCCAGGCATGGCCAACAACGGCCTACGGGCCGGATCTGGCCCGTGTAATGGATTTATGTGGCCTGCGATTAATCTTTCAATATTAGCTATTCAAGTCAGAATAGATCGGTAAAATATTCTAACACCTAAAAAAAGGTCAACAACTCACTGTCCAGTTAGAGTTAACCTTCATTACAAATCTCTTAAATACAGTGTAGAATGTTGATAAAGCATGGTAACATGAAAAATGTATCTGTAATCTCTATGTACAATTTAGTCTCTATGGGGTGACACCACAATGAGATCTCGCACCACCTCAAAATCTTCCTAGGGCAGCCTCTGGTTCGGCCCAGGGGCAAAAACTGTTGGTCACCCATGCTAACCAATACGACTGTCACCAGAGACTTGTAAAATGTATATAGTTTCCGTTTTATATTTTTAATGCAAAATAAATGATGATGATGATGATCTATAATAAATTGTTAACAGAAGTAAAACAAAAAACAAATGGAAGACATAATGTATTAGACAATAAACTTATAAACTGCATATAAATTAAGTGACATATACGTTTTCAATAATGATTTCAATAATTTGGGTTATCAACATTTTTATCTTCATTCTAGCAATTTGCAGTAGAGCAGTATTCCTGTATATTATTGGTTTGTTTGGAAAGTTCATAGCAATTTTTAAAAGAAATAAAAGAAATTGTTTTAAAACTAAAAATATACTTTTATTCCATTACATATGTGCCGTTGTTTTTAATGACGTGTTGCCATCTATGGGGGAGCTTCATGATACCCTTTTTGTAGAACTTTACAGTTTTTCCCTGAAAAACTGATCCATGTAGTTTTCGCAAGCTTCCAAAGTGTCAAAGTCTTTATCATGAAGGGAATTTTGCAGAGAACAGAACAAATGGTAGTCTGATGGGCAAGATCAGGTGAGTATTGGGGGGTGAGATAAAACATCCCAGCCCATTTCCAATAATTTTTGGCATGTTCATAAAGACATGTATGGTCTGGCATTATCTTGGTGAAACACAATACCTTTTCTATTGGCTAGTTCTGGACATTTTTCTTTAATTGTCATATTCAGTTTATCCAATTGGGAACAATACTTAAGCAGCTTGTAGTACAGGATTCCTTTCCAATCCCACCAGACTGTGAGCATGACCTTCTTTGGATGAAGACTGGCCTTTAAAGTTTATAATAGTGGTTCATTTTTCTTACCCAATAATCGTTTTCAGCTGTTAACGATCCACTTTTTATCACCTGTCACTAAACGCTTCAGAAAAGGGTCATTTTCATTTCGTCTTTCAAGAGAATCACAAATGGAGATGCGATCCAGTAAGTTCTTTCCCGTTAAGTTTTGAGATATCAAAATGTCGTAACAATTCACATATCTGAGCTTCTTTAAATGTTGAAATACAGAACTGTTTGATGACTTCACTACGCCTGAAATCTCTCGAGTTGTATAATGAGGGTTTTCATCCAATAATGCTTTGATCTATCCTCTTCAATAATGGGAGGTCTTCCTGAGCAAGGAGCATCTTCAAGGCTGAAATTATCCACTTTAAATTTTGCAAACCACTTTCGAACAGTTGATTCTGCTACAGCACTCCCACCATAAACATCACATATCTTTTTTGCTGTTTGTACAGCATTTTTTCCTTTATGATAAAAAAAAAGAAACAAGTGTCGATAAAGCATGTTGTTTGCATCCATTTTTGCAATGAGACAAATTAAACAATATTTGAATAATCTTAAGAGTTTTCTTTTTGTAACAGATATGTCACAAGGTCATTATCGTAATATTCATTGGTTTGCACAATTATAATCATTTTCACATCAATCAGTGTCTCAACTGTCGGCTATCAAAAATCGCTATGAACCTCTCAAACAACCCAATACATACAAAAAATCATAGCATTAATTATCTGATGAGAGGCAGTTAAGCTGCATTGCTCTGTAAAGATCATTAGAAATTAAATACAAATTTTACTTAAATAATTTAGAAAATTCTAATAGAAGGGATCAACCTGAAATGGTATTTGAACTCCTGTTTCAGATCAACAGTTTTGGGTAACAGCTCTAAAAAGTCTGGCAGTTTAGGTTTACAATTACAGTTTAAGTTTGGCTAACAATTTTGATTTTGTTATATTATAAATTTACATACACTTCTGAATCTTCTATGAGATCATTCACATGTACTGTTGTAACTATCTAATAAAATTTTCTGTGTTATCACTAGATATACCTACATGCATTGTTATTACATCTATTTCATAGCCATAACAAAATTATATCCAATTATGGATATGGTTTTGTTGACTTTTGCTTTAAGATGCTTATAAAAGGCCAACCTGGCCACAGTGTCTTTTTGAGAAATAAAATAAAATAAAATATGGCACAACTTTTGTACAGTTCTCCACATAATGCTGAATACTTTGAATAGTTAGGGTAGTTAGGCTAGACCAGGGTTGGCAAACCTATGACATGCATGGCCAAAGTAGCATATAAAGAGAAATCATCTGGTGCATAACATATCATATGATTTTGATTTATCATCTGTCTTTTTCAATCAGTTTTTTTACATTTATTCTAATTAAAACATATTTCTTTAATTTATTTAAATATCATTAAAAACATATGAAGTAGAATTCAGCAATGGGATCAGTAACATCTATAAAATCAATTATATTCTCCTCTATATAATTTAGAAATATTTTTCAAAAATTATTAAAGGTCATGCCAAGATCTAGATATAGCATAAAGGACACTGATACAGGACTATTAAAACAAAAAATTAAACTATCATATAAAATGATGAGCTTGAATATAAAATCGATGTATCCTTCAATAACATTAGAATTGGTTAAAGAGAACTTATGTATGTATAATACTCCAAATTACATCATGGATTTAATAGAATTTGTATTTAAAAATAATTACTTTAAAACTTCAACAGCATCTATAGACAAAAAATGGCATTTCAATGAAATCAGTCAATGGCCCAAAATTAGCAGAAATATGTATGGTTATTATAGATGAAAAAATATCAAAATTAACAGGTATATGCTACTATGCTCAATATGTATTAAATATTTAATCAATGATTCACAAAAAATTTCAGCAAAAGAAATCGAAGAATATGCCAATACTTTAAATAATAATTTAAGTTTTACATATGAAGATAAAGATAACAAAGAATTAAACTTTCTAGATATAACTATAAAGAGAAACGAAAAAATATTACAATTCCATATGTATGAAAACCATGCCTATGTATGAAAACCATGCAATATTACAAAAAATAATTAATTATAAATCATATTGCCCTATAGACATTAAAAGCCAATTTAATGCTATTTCTGTTCATATTGTAGCCAACCAACAAAATAGATTATCTAATATACTGAATTTTATTAATAAAGAAGAAAAAGAACAAGTTCAACTGGACATTGCAGGAGCCATATACAAAATGCTATGTACGTGTTCTCAAGCAAAATGCTGTATAGGAGAAACCAAGCAAAAATTAGAGAAAAGACTTAAAGAACATCAAGCAGCCATACAGGTAAAATACAGAGAATCTCCATGGTATCAACATTGCAGCATTTTTAATTTTATAATAGACAAAAGTAATATAAAAATTTTGTATAAAGAAAAAAATCTTGTTAAACGTCGGATAAAAGAACACTATAGTATTAGGAATTATGTAAATAACATAAATTTGAATATGAGTGTCGATGTATGTTAGGATAATTTCATCAACTATAACAGCACTTGTAACTTGATGTCAGTATTCACTGAAAAGGTCTAACTGGCAAAATGCATATGGATATATTAGGAAAAGTATAAATAAATACCTTTTTTGATTTGTTAACTGTTTTAATTTAATTTTGTCGTAATTTGTCCTCAAAGTCGGTGTAGACTGAGTTATACTCAAATAATTTTTCTAAAAGTTTCTAAACTTTTAGAATTACACCTATATAATTGATTTTATTTAAATACTGTTTTTCAAGGTTTAAAACTTTGGCATGCATAAACATCTCTAAAGCAAAGTATGCTTACTGCTTACTATACAGCATGTGGCTCAAAAAGGTTTGCTACCCCTAGACTAGACTGTATTTATAAATATTAGTAATAATTGGAAATACTGTCAACATTTTCCTATATCAATGCTTCTCAATTATTGAATTCATTACGAACTATTAACGATAGATTATATCACAATCGATTATTAATATGCTAAAAAATTACTAATAAATAGGTAAGGAATACTATTTCATAATTTACTATACGTAGAATAATCATATTTTTATTATAAACTATTACTACTACATTTAAAACACTTACTTGGATGGAATATTCTCCACATTTTCAGTATCTTTAACATATGCTGTCACTGTAGCCACAGTTTGTTTTGAATTCATATCAACAGAAATTTGCCAATTTAAAGGTTGAGACACCTGAGCACCTAAAATTCTTAGACCACTTTTGACACGAGCCCTATAAAGTAAAAATACATACAACGTAAATAAAATGATTAATATATAACTTAGTAAAATTGCCTAAGTAAATACAGTAAATAAAATTTTAATATCAGAATAATTATTAATGCTATTCCCAACTCACTTTTTGACTAAAAACATTAAAATAAAAAACAGCAACAAGTAAACAAACATAATATTTAGAAATTATAACTAGAGATGTTTGATTAATATATTTGAAAAGTTATTTCCTCTTCTTTTCCCATGTACGTCATCAGAAAAAACAAGAGAAAAAGAAATGATCAATATACTGTATATACTGTAAGGTCTCTTTTTATGCTGATTATTTTTTATGCGATTTTGAAGTTGTGCGGTTTGTATTTCATCCAAAAATTTCTTGGACAAACATACATATAGGCTTGTTTAGGAAGCCCGCGTATAGAACAGTCTCCAAAACTCGTGGAACGCTCAAAGCTCACTCCATTTGTTCCACTGACATATAACATTTATGGATGTAAAAGACAGCTAGATCTACCTTAATCACTTTAGTTCCTAGTAATTTTTGATATAAATGTAATTAAACATAAAAAATACTTAAAACTGAAAAAAACGAAAGAAATTATCGAAAGAAATGCGTTAATTTTGAAGAAAAAGCTTCAAAGTTTAACTTCCTTTGTCTCGCCCTTCTGTGAAATTTAACACCCATGAGTCATTGTTTACACATCTGGATGACCTTGAACACAGCTGGAGTTCGATTTTCTGGGGCATTCTCATAGACGTCGCGGGAGGACAAGGGTTTAAAGTAGGGTGAACACTAGCTGCCCGTATATTTTTAAATATTTTTAAAAAATTTGGAGACTTAAAAAACATTCCAAAAATTCAAAAAAAATTTCAGAAATATTTGTACGTACGTACACACTCTTCACATCCAGATGTCAGTGATTTGTTTTTAGAGTGAGCTTTTGCCATTCGGGGATTCCCCTTGTACAGGATACCATCGACAAGTCGCTATTACATCATTCTGAGTTTCGCATTGAAAGGTATAAACTGTAATTGTTTTGAAATTAAATTTTATTTTAGCGGTGTTTTGTTCATTTTTATAATAAGTAGCAAGTTTAAATTTTGCTGATTTCAGGTTTCAGTAATAAGCAACCTATTTCTTTTAATTTCTGCAAACTTTTTTATGCGGTTTTAAGTTAATTTTAACTCGTTGTTTTGGTTTTATGCGATTTTAGAAAATTACGGAACGTATCCCTACTTTTTCAAGGCAAGTAAAGTCTTTTTTTATGCGAATTTTTTATATGCGCTTTTCTGTAGAACGTATCCACCGCATAAAACCAGACCTTACAGTATATATATATATATATATGATTAAAATTTAATTATTTTTTATTCATGGATAAAAAAAAATGCTTACAAACAAATAAAATTGCATAATTTTTATATTACAGTATGCCATCAATTTAGGCTGTGTACACATTAGGCGTTTTGCACACGCATTAGCAGCGCATACACTGTGCGTTAGCTTGGCGTTCGACAACCGTTTGCACTGGCTCAGTTTGGAAATGGACGTGAAAGTAATTGCTTGTGTGTGCCTTCTCCATCATCACTATAAAAGACGATGGCAGAGGCAAAGGGAATTTTGGGTGCACCCAATATTACGAGATAGACTGACGCATGGAATATTTGTGACGTTGTATCCAAAACTAAGACAATATGAACCCAAGTTTTTAATTCTTTTAGAATGTCTATAGAATCATTTGACGATGGCTGGTCTCTTTTGGATTTCATCAATAAACAGATCAGTATCGAAATGACCGTTCTCCATTTCGGCCAATGTGCGTCCACTCTACCCTACAGTGGCTAGAAAATATAGTGTCGAAAGCGCTTATATTCCTCCATTATAACCGTTCGGTCCATACATCGAGGTTAGTGACGTCACAGACAAGGTGGCGCNATGGCTGGTCTCTTTTAGATTTCATCAATAAATAGATCAGTATCGAAATGCTCGTTCTTCATTTCGGTCAACGTACATCCACTCTATCTGAAAGCGTGTGATCGAATGTACAACAACATGGCAGCACATATATCTCAAAGCGCGCGGCTGACGCCCACAAAACGCATGTTCTAACAAAAATCTATCAATGTGCGTTTGAGTATGTATACCTATGCAGAACTCTTGGTTCTTTAAAACGCGCGTTTAAAAACGCCTAATGTGTACACAGCCTTAACAAACTATTGGGTTGAACCGAAAATTTGTTTGGGTATTTACATAATTACTTGTCTGTGTCACCTCTGTTGATCTTATCAAGATTTAACTTGTTTAAGTAGTGTATTATAGATGACTCAGTAATACGGCAATACTGATCAGGTAATATGAACAACTCTTTATTCACACACAACTGAACACAGGTACATCTCATTGGCTCCCTACAGCTCAAACATGGCAATCTCTTTTTTCCTACCACCATAGACTCGACCCATATTGCCACCTCCCGTGCATATACATTAAATTTAATGTTTAATTAATTTATCACCATATATTACAGGTAGACATTATGAATATTTGCATATTTAATACATAAGTTTAATTACAGCTATTTTTTAAAATTCTGTTATCTTTTGAGATAAATAAAAACATTAAAATGGAAGATAAGAAGGTGCATTTTTGACATCTTATGCTCTATTATTTCCAAAAAGGAAAAAATGCAACAAAAACTCAAAAGAAGATATGTGCTGTATATGGGAAAAATGCAGTTACTGATCGAACATGCCAGAAATGGTTTTCAAAATTCAGGGCAGAAGATTTTTCTCTCAAAGATGTACCTTGGTCAGGAAGGTCTTCGACCACAGAAGATGGGTCCATAATAACTTCAATTCAAAATGACCGACATAGAACAACATGAGAGATAGCCAACATCTTAAAAATATCTGAAACATTTGGCTAGTCTTGGATACACTTCCCATTATGATGTTTGGGTTCCCCATCAGTTAAATGAACAAAACCTTATTGAACATGCTTCTGTTTATAATTAACTTTTAAAATGCAATGATGATGATCCATTTTTAAAGTGATTAATAACAGGAGATGAAAAATGGATCATTTACAATATTCAGTGCAAGAGATATTGGAGTAAGCCAGGTGATCCTTCAGTGCCACAACCTAAAGCTGGTTTGCATTCCAGAAAAGTAATTATTTCAGTTTAGTAGGATTGGAAAGGGGTTCTTTATTACAAGCTTTTACCCAACAACCAAATAATTAATTCCAATAAATATTGTCTCCAACTGGATGAACTAAAACTAAAGGCTGCAGTGCATCAAAAATGTCCAGAACTTGAAAATAGGTGGGAAAATACGTTTTGGTTATATACTAGCTATCTTCACTTCCCATATAAATCATCATAATTTTTCATGAGTTAGCAAAGAACTATTGTCTTTTGCATTACACTCACTTAGAGAGGATTCTAACCTCATTTTCATCACCTCTTTCTTATCCATTTCACAAAAAAAATTTATACAAAAAATAAGTTTAAAAAGATTTAAGTACAAAAATATTACAATTGTCTGAGCACTGAGCAAAACTAGAAAAAAAGACAGTAAACAACTGATAACTTTATAAAATATTTGAAGCCTGATATATAGATATGCAACCAAATGATCACCTTAAAGAATTGAGCTATAAATCCGCTATTATTAATGATTAGATACTAAATAATTTGGTACTAGTAGTAGACATTAGGTGCCATTCTTATCTAAATTAATAATTATAATAATTTATTAAATAATTATTAATTATATTATTATTATATTACTTAGTATATAATCATTACTAATAGTGGATTTATAGCTGATTGTTTAAGGCTATCATTTGGTTGAACTGATAACTTGAATGAACTACAACAACACTGGTTGGGATGACTACAACTCATTATCTTCATTATTGATATCATTCCCTGACCTTTAAAAACAAAAATAATTTTCATTCCAAACTTTAAAAAAGTGGTGGTCTATGTGATACCTAGTTAAAGTATAGAATGTTAGAACATTATACACTTTAACGAGCCTATTTAGGTATTCTATGGAATAACAGATTATATACTTTAAAGCAGTGGTTCTCAACCTTTTTTGTTGATGTACTCCATTAGCCCATTAGTTGTTTCTCAAGTACCCCTTATATTTTTGTATGTAAATTTTATAGTTACTGCATTAGATGTATACAGCCCTTATAACTGAGTGCCATAAAAAAACTCTCATTAACTAACTATAATTAAAAGTGGATTACTTATTTTATGTAAATAATAATCAATTTAAACAGGCACTGTACATACATTTATTTATTGTTATTTGATATTATATTATATAAAATCACAGAAGTCATTTCAATACATGCATAAATTACATTTCCTAAAAATAAATAATTATAATTAACAATAAACAAAATTTAAATTATTCTACAATAATTTCTAACAATTTAATGGGATATTTGTTGCGATAAATCTTCAGCAATTTTTTTCAAATTTGGTTCCCACTTTGTTAACTGACAATGAATGTCTGCTGATGCGTCAAGCCTGTTTCTTTTTTTTAGTTTTTGTCACAAATACGTTGTTAAAATGGTAAAAGTTTTCTTTAGACCTTTTAAATTGGACCTTACATAGCTTTAGCTCCATCAGTGCAGATATTGATGCACTTTTTCCAATCTATTTCATTACTTTGAATGCAATCATCGATTTTATTGAAAATATCAAAACCCGTAGTTGTATTTTTTAGGTCATCACACATTAACAAATCTTCACAAAGCTCATCGTTGTACTGATATTTCACAAAAACTAAAAAAAGTACTGTCAATCCGCTGACATTGGTGCTTTCATCTATTCTAAAATTAATGCTTGGTTAAATCGAAATTTTACTAGACTACAGGTTCACTCGGCACTAACGGCACAAATAGACAGGTAAAGCAAGTGGATAAACAAGTTGTTTGGACTGTTAAAAGGGAAATCAGTGTTCATACTGGGATATTTT